GTCACATATTTTAACTTCGATGAGCATGTATCCTCTCCCACTAACATCAGTATTCACTACCCCTCTTATAATGGCGTAATCAAACTGGAAAATTAATTACTTGTACGTGTTTAAAAAATCAATATATACACACATTGATCACTACCTAAACAAAGTGAATTTTTAAACAAATAACTAATTGTATTTAAAAATGTAAATTGTCTGACCTTTGTTCTAAACTGGACAGTGTTTCATAAAATAGTTATCTACCCGACCACTCTGCGTTTGTATTAACAACAAACGCCTAGTATCGTTTTGATTAAACATTCCAAATTTGCATAACTTAGAAATGCAACCAATAACCAAGTCCACATCTGGGCCGACTTCGCGGCGCTGCTAAGCACAAACATTTCACTTAGCACAAAACAGTTTGGTGAAGTTTCGTTAAGGTTATTAGCCAAAAGTCCATGTGATTTTCATGCAAAGCAAACAACAACTGAATACTATAATCACGAGCAAAATACATTACCTGGAGTTTTGGCTGCTTACCTGCCTTTATTAGCCAAACATTTGTGTGCTAAGCAACTGTTTCTCCTCAGCAGCTCCGTGAAATTGGCAGATTTCCAAATCGCTCGCGCATGCGCTACGTATACCTCCCCTTGACAACAGATTTTTGAGAAACAAACCAATTCGATCTAGCGCTATCTTCATATATGATCTAAGCCTGACAAAAGTTCTACTTCAACTTGGCCAACAACTACACTAAAGCGAAAGGTAACTTTCATCTCATCTTTTTTGGCACTTGTCTCACATCATTGGAAAGCCAAATAAACAGTTTCCAGTGTTTTTTTCTAATGAAAAATTCATGTTTCTTTCAGACCAAATTTTCAACCCATGGGCCCATGAGCAATATTCACCACGTGCTATTCATGTACGAGCTCAATAACGTAGTCCACTCCTTAACTTATCGCCTTTTTTAACATTCGGACATCGCCAGACCATGTCCGAAAGTTAAAAAGTCAATAAGTTGGGTCTAAATTAGTCAGATATATGCTCAACCATGGAGCTACATATATCACCTGAGTATTATTAGTATATATCGCTCAACATGCATGCTCACCACCAAATGCAGTTAACAACTCTAAGTCTAAGTTACTAAAGACAAAGGCTGTTCAAAAGTATTATTGTGTTAAGTACACCATATAGGCCTATCCCTAATTACTTATGAACATAGGCCTAGGCCCTATTTCCCTTTACTAAAATTGTGAAGTCACATTCCAGCTCTGACCAGCACGAGAGTGCCTAAATTCTCAGTCTAAGAAAGTAACCACCTAAGTAGCAAAAGCGAATCGATGAAGTGTGAAGTACGTTACATAGCTGCTATGGGAACCTGGAGCAAAATTAAGGTGTGCCCACTGAAGTGGATCAATTAATCATGTTACACTTTCAGTAGAAGCAGAAGCTAGGGTATAGGAGACCCATTAGTCTTAGGTAGTAGTAGATCGAGAGGAACTAGGGTATAGGAGACCCATCAGTCTGTAGAAGCAGGAGCCAGATGTCATTGAAGTGTGAAGTTGCATCCTAGTGGTGCCAAGTACAGGGAGCCTAGAACAAGCTTGGTCTACCCACTGAAGTGGAACAGTATGGTTGCAGCAGTGAGTCTCAGTATAACTATAGGACCTATACAGTATAGAAGACCCATTAGTCTTAGGTAGTAGCAGAGGACCTACAGTATAGGAAACCCATCACTCTGTAGTAGTGGGGACTAGATGCCTTTCAAGAGTGAAGTTGCATATCCTAGTAGATGCCAAGTAGCTGGATGGGAGCCTAGAGCAAGCTTGGATAATGCCCAATGAAGTGCAACAGTTACACCTCTATGTTCCGACACCCCTATGTTCCGACTGCACATATTCCTATTCCTAACCCTAACCCTAACCGGGAGTAACACAATCCAGGTTGTCGGAACATCATATAGGGGTGTCGGAACATAACGCAGTCACCAGTGCAACAGTAGAGTTACAGTCTCAGTACAAGGACGACCTGGGGTTCAAGAGACCCATTAGTACTTAGGGTATAGGAGACCAATCAGTCTGTAGCAGTAGGACCCAGATGTTATTAAGGTGAAACCCAATGTCTTGTGGAACTGTCTTTGCATGCTTACCAGATGTCAATGGCTTCTCGTATGCATCATGGATGCCACAACTGGATCAGACTGATGCCAGTTTGGCTGCATCCCAAAGAACTTTGTGGTCGTTAATGTACGTGAGGATGTTTGACAATGGCCGATTTGTCAAAATCTCCTCATCATCCATGTGGTCTGTGTTAATCCTTTAGCCTGGTTAGAACCTTAGTTCCAACCAGTTTCCTTGATGTAAACTTTGCCACATTTACATGGAATGCAGTAGACCCCCTGCTTGGACAAGGAGTCCTGCTTGTCCATGTGAGTGTGGAGGGTGCCTTGGAACTTCTTGCAACATGAGTAATACACCTTGACACCAGCTAATTGTCAAAGGATGCATTGGAGATGATGAGAAGCTGCACATATATGTACAAAAGAGTGACTGAGTGTGAGGCAGATACAGTGGAAGGACCTTCCCCAGAGGAGACCTAGTGGTCAGGTTTGATGATCTTAATGCGGTTGAATCAGCAAACCTGAACCTAGGGGTCTCCTCTACCCAAGGTCCTACCACTGTGTCTCCCTCAGTCACTCTTCCATACAAAGGTCCAGCTTCTCATCATTGATCTCCAACACATCCTCCGACAAGCTGTGTCAAGGTGTATCACTCATCTTCCGACAAGCTCCAAGCCATCCTCCACACTCGCAGGACACTTCCTCCAAGCCAACAGTCTACCGCATTTCATGTAAATGCAGCAAAGTCTACATTAGGGAAACTGGTTGGAACCTTCCCACAAGACTCAAGGAACATGTACAGACCACATGGACGACGAAGACATTTTCACATATCGGCCATTGTCAAACATTCCCACATTAACTATCACAATGTTGATTGGCATGCAGCCAAACTCATTGCCTCGATCCAGTTCTGGAATCCACAACGCATCGACATGAGGAACCATTGAGATCCACAAGCACAACACAGTTCCTCAAGACATTGTGGCACCTCAACAACATCTGACTTCCACTCCTATACAATGATGGGACTCTATATCCTAAGTCCTCTAATACTACAGACTAATGGGTCTCATATACCCTAGGTCCTCCTACTGAGACTGCAACCCAACTGTTCCACTTCAGTGAGCACGTCCATTAGCTTGCTCTTGGCTCCCATCACCTACTAATCCACTATAGGATGCAACTTCACACTTCAACGACATCTGATTCCCGCTCCTATAGACTGGTGGATCTCCTATACCCTAGGTCCTCTCTATCTACCACTACCCCAGACCAATGGGTCTCCTATAGCTCCTCCTCCTACCAAGAGTGCAATCCAACTGTTCTACTTCAGTGGACACACCATAACCTTGCTCCACACTCCCATAGCAGCTACTTAAAATCCACTAAGAGGTAACTTCACACTTCATCAATTTCCCTTTGCTACTTAGGTGGTTACTTTCTTAGACTTTATTAGGCACTCTCCTCAACACAGTCACCTGACCAGAACATCATGTTGATACCTTTTGTTCTTTTCAGAACTATTATTCACACATGATGTTTCCACAAACCTTTCATTTATTAACCTTATATACTTCACATTAATCTCTTATCATTTACATTTATTCATTTACCTTGACTAACTCCACCTCCATGCTCATCAAGAATTTGACATGTGGAGCTTAAACTGTCTTGTAGATCCGAGATTCTAACAGGCCTAAAAAATGAGACTCTCTGTTATGATCTTTCTCCTGTCTACTAAACCCAACTCACAAACATATTCAAATGAATGAGATATTTTCCATGCAATCTATATTGGGAAACTAGAGGGAAAAATAACCATTTTAGTGCTACAGATACAGATCAGAGTCACATTTTTAGGACCCCTTAGAATCTAAAATGTACTTACATAGTTTTACCTTCAGCCCTATATGTCAAATTCCTGATTGACTATATTGCAGCTGCATCAACTTACTAAAATTATTCATCAATCCTTTGTCAATTATCAAGCTCCCATCATTTGTTTCCTCACAAAAACATGTTGCAACCTCACACTACATTTTTTCTTCATACAATGAAGAAATTTACTTTATAACTTACAGATAACTTATAACTTGGCCTTCATCTTAATGACTGTCAGTAATGACAAAATACATTTTGAACTGTTTTTTACCTGCCCCTAGAGGGTGCTCAAACACTTAATGGCATCATCAATCATTTTTCTGGAACACTGAACGCACCCAAAGACTAACACCGTTGACAACAAGTCCATATCTTTTTCCAATTTCAAATTATTAGGCACTTCTGATATCAACTGGAAGGAAGGCTTACAAGACTTGACACACAAAAGATAAACTACAGATCATGTATTATCATGTCAATTCCCACAACATTCAACTTCATGTCTCTCATGTTAATTTAATTATATTTTAAATTTGAAAGATTAAATTATTAACCTTTCAAGTGCAGACGTACGTCACACAACCCATGATGACTTCATAATTACAAAAAAAGCATCTTCAGTGGGTTCTCCATTCATGTATTTTCATTTGTGTTTTCATTTTGACAAACAGTTGTGGAGAACAATTTCCTGAAAACAATAATACTAACAAAAACAAAAGTACATTCATGCAATAATTAACAATAGGTGTTGCACTAATAGCCAAACAACTAATGGAATCCTTAAATCAGACTTATTATGTTACTGCACCTGGTGCAAAACATTTTAAAGATGTAACAAAACCTCTGTTAAAATCATATTTAGTTAATAATAAACTACATTAAACAATATATACAGTAATGTGTATATTTTCATTACAGCGAGCTTATTTTAACATTGGTGAAGTATACACATGTGCATTTTACACAATATTAAATTAAGTATTATCACATTTTTATTATCAGATGTCAGCTGTCAACATTAAAATCATCACAGCAGCAGAAGAGCGACCTAAAGCGATGTACGTAATGAGATGCATCACAGGTGATCACCAAGTGAAACCGTTGTACATGTTCCATGAAGCACAAGCCAAATTCGAGGTTGGCAACTACTACAAACTCGTAGGCTATACTTCATTTGAGCTAGCAAACCACGAAAGTGCCATCAAAGTCAATGCAAAGACCCGAGTAAGTATGCAAAGTTTCAAACACTTTATATAAAATGTGCATATTTCTCTACAAACTTCAATAATCGACCAGCACTGAAGTTGAATATTTAACTTTAGTCTGCATTTTTTTTGGAAATAGCACGCAACCATGTTACATAAATCAGTGCAACGATGGAGAACAAAATGTAGGTAGATGCCACCCTTAAGTTTGACCAAAATATATCTAATTTCCATAAAATATTAATCCCTGCCATTTATTTCCATATTGGGGTATATTCTATATTCTTTTGATTTTTAAAAAGTTAATTTCAGTCATACTACTTACACACCCTTACTTAAATAACATTTTTATAAGCTTTTTATACAAATATTGACTGCTTGGAATGGTGTTGTAAAACTAGCCTCCCAAGGTGATCCATGGACATTCTATTTTCACAACTGTACTATTATTTTTTTACTGCCATTTTTTCTTTCAGATTTTCCACTGTCAACCATTCTTCATCCCGGCTGAAATTGAAGAACAATTCTTCCACGCTGACCCTGTGAGCGTCGAGGAAGCACTCCAGCTACCACCATACCGACGCGCATCCATCAAAGGCATATTGACCTATGTAAGTAAAACCATCATACTACAATTCTTCTTATCTAAGCCTTTCAATACACATTCCCTTCACAACATACTTTTTAACAAACCATAAGTATCAAACTCTTCTACCTCACATAATAATACATATATTGTCAACAAACAACACTTTACCACAGACAGTGCAAAACATATACATTAACTGTGGTTTATAATTTTCAGGTCTCACCGGTCAAGGAGGCCACAGGTTGGAAACGGAAGACACTCCACCTCTCACAAACATCATGCCCGAACAAAGTCGTTGTGAACCTTTGGAATCACATGTCATCAACTCCGGTCCCACCCATGAGATCTATGGTAGAAGTCACCAACGTTGAGACATCCTTGTATCAAGGCCAGATCTCATTCAACACTACACCTGAAACAAATATCAAGGTAAGCAATCAATTTTTAACATATTTTTCAAAACCCATCATTTCATTTTTCATTAATTTTCAAAAATATTTACAATCAATACAATGGAACCCACCAATATAATTTCATTTCATAGACTACTACTTTCATCCACACATCCCTTCATACAAACAAACTGCTAATTCCCCCACCCTTTTTCCCCCACAAATACAATTTTAAACTTAATTACCTAGAGAGAAAAAAGACACACACCTTTTACACTCACAAAACCCATGGTACACCCATTCCTGATCCCCTCTCCAATTTGCTCCATCATTGGTTGTGTCCGACAATGACATTTGTCAATGTTCCTCTCATATGACTGTGGAGAAGAAAATTATTACAAAAGTGCAAAACAACTTCATATATTCCACTATTAACCATTAACTTTCCTAAATATACAACCTTCCCAAAAATTACCAAATCACAGCGTCTA